AGTTTGCAGGTGGCACTCAATCCATTGAGCCACGCCAGCCGAGGCAGTGGTATCTTTTTAAAAAGCAACATAACAGCCAAAGTTTGCACTTCCTCGTTCTAATTCCTCTTCCTGGGAGTGACAGTCCACCCTGGGGTCACGGATGTGCTGGAAAAGACGACTCACGGGGAAAAAAATGCTGGGTTGCATGTACCCACAAGAACCTACTGGATGTGACTTCAGGAGGGTAATCAGGTGTGACCGGGACATGGAAACATTCACCCGGCCGCAGGGTTCAGTGTAAGGCACGAGGATTGGGTCTCTGCTCTGGCAATAGCTTCCTGTGTAGCCTGGGCTACCTCATTCCCCCGGCCTGGGCCTGAGATTCATTAGCTAAAAAAAAGGGGGAAAGAGTTGAACCGAAGGATGTGTACGGGTCTTTCCTACTCCCGCCTCCATATGCAATGCAGGTAAAGCCTACAACCGCGGAACACCCTTTTTCCAGCCGGGCTGGAAAGTCAACCCACCTTGTTTTATGAGCAGGCGTCCCCAGGGCTCCCCCCGCTGGTCCCTAACAGCATTACCATTCATCTAACCTGGGAACAGGTCCCCTCCCGGTCGATGCTCTGGGAGCTGAGAACTCACTGCGTTTCTTCCTTTTTTTTTTTTTTTTTTAAGACTCTAACTTGTTTACAAATCTAACTGAAACTCTGTTTCAGACCCAGTCTTTCGGTTACAAGTGGCTTCCTCCTCCTGCCTGCATCTGGGGAACCCACTTCTCAACTTTTTGTTTTCTTTAGAGACAAAGAGCCTCCCCAGCCGCCCATTGCCGCATTCCTGTTAACCTTTCATTAAGCCTGCTGACAGCTGGCGTCGGCTCTCCCGTGAGTTAGTTCAACACATTCGCATTTCAATGTGTCCCACCTGGCTTCATTAAGGCTCCTGCCAGGTTCTCCACTTGCCACTTCCTCCACAAATGCAAATACGATTCTGAGTAAATAATTTGCAGATGAGGGAAGATTGAACTCTAAAGGGGTGGGAATGGAAAACCATCAGAACACTCGGCCTGCTGAGCATCTGGGTGAACTCAAATCCAGGTGGGACCGATGCAGGTCGAGCTTGCTCATCTGCGGGCGTTGAAGTCTTTCACTGGGGCCCTTCAGACTGTGGGGTCCTTCCTGCTCTGTCACAGGGGGCTGGACTTATGTGACCCCAAATTCCTTCATCTATCTCTGCTTCCGTTTTCTCAGCTCTGAAAGCAGGAATATGCCTGGTCCACTGGGCTGATGTGTGGATTCAATGAGAAATTGCCTCGAAACACGTACCCAGAACTCAGGGCTTGTTCCTTGAGGATTGGATGCTAATTTTCATTTAGCATAGAAAGGTTAAGGTCAAGGTTGTAGAATCAGGTTGATTCTACCAGAGCCCTGATGTAAATCCTCAAGGCGTGTAGGCCTACCGTGTAAACAGGAGCTGTTTAAGCCATTCAGTTGCATTTCGCAAGTGTGTTTTGTCTCATTTAGATGTTTAAACTCCTTAAGCAAAGCAAGTCTCTCTCCTGGGACCCCTCCCCTCCCCACTCCCCCACACACTAGATCCTAGAAGCTGTTGGCAGAGGGGCTACCAATTCACCCCGATAGCACAGACGGAAGGGGGAACAACTGCCTCCACTGACCAAGGGGTCTTGTTATAAGACTCAGATATTCATTAATTCATCACTTAAACCCACCCCCTAGACCTTGAGCCTCAGGCTGGCTGCCTTGTCCTAGACCACGTGTTGCTTGTCTAGGGCATTATTTTAACTATGAACGGTAATGCCTTTGAGAAGTGGACACACATTCCACTTGGTCATCAGCCACACTGCTTCCCATCACCTCGCTCATCTGTATCAGCTGCCTGGCCCCTGAGGTCATCGTCATTTGACCCCCCCCAGCCTGCTTCTGGGGTGCTTCTCTGCCCCCCCACGGTGGAAGTCAGGAGACAGGAACCTCAGATCTGAGTTTAGGAAAACGCCAGGGCCCCATTGTGGAGAACCAGGAGGAGAGGGGCACAGTGGGCCGGCCCAGCCAGGAAGCTGGCTGCGGGAGTCCCCGAAGGAAGGCCGGCCAGCTGCCCCGAGGTCTCTCTCCACCAGCACCCAACCCCAGGCCCTGCTGGCTGCTGCGGGACACACACCCATCCAGGTGGCTGCAGCCACCAGCCCTGGGGAGGGAGTCCCTTCCTGAAACCTCCCTCCCTGCCAGGGATCAGTGCACCGCAGTCATCCTTTAACTTGAACGTGCATCGGTCACCTGCAGGGCTTGTTAAAACACAGAGCACTGGGCTCCCCAACCCGCAAGAGTTTCCGACTCAGCAGGTCTGGGGTGGGGACAAGAATCGGTCTAACAAGTTCCAGGCAATGTGGAGCCTGCCGCTCTGAAGTGCATAGTTTGATAACCACTGAGCCAGACAGAGCTATGGTCCCCAGCCCTGGCTGCACCGTGAAACCACTCGGAGACTTTTTTTTTTTTTAATTCAGATGCTCAGGCCATATCCCAGACCATTGCAAAAGAACCTCTTAAAGAAGGGGACTCCGGAATTGACATTGAGAAAACTGTCCAGTTAATTGTAATGTTCAGCTAAGACTTATACCTACTAGGTGAGAGTCCCCTGGAGGGCATTGCCAGTTCTAAAACACCACGACTACCCACTGCCAAAACAGAAAGACACTTAGGGAGCTTAAACGTCCTGTTCAGGAAGTATGTGCCGTCTTTTGCTAGTGAGACCTGAGACAATGGCAGCGTGGGCCTTGGTGGCTGTTTTCGAAGGTGACTAGGGAGCGTGAGCTAAGTTAGGATGGGCTGTATCATAGACTCACAAAATATTAGAACCCGACAGGGTCATAGACTCCCTCCAGTTTCCAGATGGGGAAACTGAGGCTGTGAGCCTGACTCTAGATCCCCTTCCCCCCTCAGCTGCTAAATGTGAGTCATTCCCAGTATCTCAGGTTAACCCAGAGGAGAGCAAGTCCAGCCAAGGAAAAGAACTACCCGCATGCTGCCAGTTGCTTCCGTCACTTAGGCCAAGTCTGACACTCCACTAAGCACCGAAAGAATGAGCCAGAAGGCACACTCCTCTGGGCAGGCTGTTTTCCAAGTGCTCAGGGGAGAGGGAGGGGCTTTATGAGCTGCTGAATCTGTGCAAGGAGTCTATAAGCTGTACCAGTGAAGCCATGAGATGGATTTTTTCCTCTCCTAAAAGCCATGTGAAGAGAGTAGAAACAGAAAAGGTGGTTTCCTTGGAAGATTGTGTGCTTGTTGTATTGTGTCTGCTATGGCCCTAAACGTAGCTTGGAAGCATTATCAGGGGAATCCCTTCCAGATCTGGTGACTTATCACATTTCTGCTTGACTGAGGCCAATCTCACTCAGCTACACACACATACATACATTCATTCATTCATTCATTCATTCATTCAACAACCAGTTGCTTTCCTCTCTCCCCCTGGGTTTTTCATGCTGCTAGCTATGAACGTTTTAAAATCAATCTGGCCTGATTGAGGAGCAAATTTCCCTGAGTTACACTGAGAGGAGCTAATCTGGATGGACCACCTTCCTCTTGGATCCATGCACCGACCACGCCACTCTCCTCCACACCGTGCTCTCTCCGATGGACTCCTGGCTGTTTCCAACATTAAAGTCCCCAAGCAAGAAAAAAGATGGGATACCATGGTCACCTCTAAAGAAACTCAGATGTGAACAGAAAGCAATAGAAAACCAAGGAGTTTTCGAGGTAAGTCAAAGTCGTGGTGCGATTCCACACCATGTCCTGCCTTAACGATGAATTGCAGATCCAGGGCTGCTCCCGGCTACCTGGGGGGCTGGGGGACGGGGGGAGCACTCAACTCTGACAGGTGGGCACAAAAGGAGAGACGCAGGTGCAGACAAGGCAAAGGCAACTGTGGGAGGGAAGGGCCCAGGCTCCGTGCCCCAGAGGCGAGGTCAGGGACAGAGACATGGAGCACGACCAGGTAGAAGAGAGATTAGACATGTTCTGTGTGAGCCCCACGAGTTCAGCTGGGACCGAAGGGCACATGCTAGCTGCAGGCAGACTTCGCTTTACATATTTCTAAGTCTCAGCACTGCTCTGAGATGGAACGGACTCCCCTAGGTGTGGCAGTGAGCTCCTCATCACTGGAAGTATTCAAGCATAGTGTGGAAGATCACTGAGCAGTGATGATACTGAGGAGATTAAAGCCCTGGGCAGAGAAGGTGTGGCCTCTGAAGTACCTCTGACCTGGGGAACTAAGCCAGACTGGCTCAGTGACACCAGTGGAATTGATGGGCCTTGAACAACAGAAACAGATATTCGAAGACTTATTTTGACAATTCACACGTCCTGCCCCTGTCCTCCGTTTTAAGCAAAAGTGGCACATTATAGTGTGAAAAGACCATCTTCGTCTTCTCTTCCAGGCTGTATGTCATCATCGAGGACACTCCTCTTACTTCCTCCAGCATGGTCTAGCCTACAGAGAGAGAAGAGGCTGGTCAGGGGAACCACCGTGACCGGGACTAAACGGCGCTGCTGAATTGCAGCACAACTAACCAAGGCTGGGAGAGCTGAGGCCACAGGGGAGGGAAGGCTTTTGTCAATCTATTCTAACAGGGGATTTAGAAGTTTCTATATTAGAAAACATAACATCACAACCTAAAGGTGTTTATTTACAAAAAAGAAGAAAAAAAATCTCCATCCTGGTCAGGTAGTTCAGTTGGTTGAAGTGTCAGCCTGTGCACTAAAAGGTTGCAGGTTTGATTCCTGGTCAGGGCACATACATAGGTTGTGGGTTTGATCCCCATCTGGGACGTGTATGGGAGGCAACCAACTAATGTTTCCCTTTCTCTCCCTCTCTCACTCCCTCCCTCCCTCCCTTCTCTTTAAAATATTGTGGTATTGATGCAGTTATATAGTGAAGACAAGGTCTTCATCACAGTTTACATCAAACCTTTTTATTTCTTTCCAAAAAGTTACGGAACAGGACGAATATCCAAAATCCTTTTCTAGAGACTTGTCAGACTATTTTTTAAAATGCTCCTATGATCTAATTTGGCAGAGGAAACCATATATTCCAGGAATGATATTCTATGTGCTTTTTTCATTTTTCATACTGCCGACTCTCCTTTCTATGAACTCTAGTGTAACAATGTCCTTTTAAAGTAAGTTGCCCAGAGCTGAATGAAGAACTTCTAGCACGGAGTGATGCATCACCTTCTTTCTTTTGCACGTCATACTTCTATTAATGCAACCTGTCTTTGCATGTGCCTTTTGAATGTGAGCTGAATCCCCACCTCTTTTTCACCTCTAACGTCACATCTCTCCAACCCTGTGTTTAATCAGAACACAAGCACAAGTCATTAAACCACTGAGTAGTATCTAATCACTTGTAACACCTTGTACTATCATTACAACGATCAGTCATGCAAGATGAATTACCTGGTGTGTTTGTGGAAGCAATTGGTTTTCATGACTTTCTCTGAAAAGACAAGGCCACAGTATAAGCAGAGTGCTGTGCTAGAACGTTTGAAATGCTGGGAGAAGCCCCACTACTACCTTAGGAAAAGCTGAGGTAGTCTAAAGGTGAGACTTAGGGACTGGCTTTAGCAGGAGAAGCCATTCCTTTTCCTGGGTCAGATGACCCCTTCTTTAGCCCCTGAGGCAGTGTCCATCAGCTCTGAAATTGTTCCCCTGTCGTGGGCACGGCTCTGAAGCTGCTTCGTACCTGAGTCATTTGCCCACCCACAATTCAAGTATTCATTTGGGTTTTAAAATATGTCCTTATGAAACTTCCCCAGAACACCCCAAACCGTAACTTGCCTTTATAAACTCCCTTTTGTAGTGTTTTCTTTAGGGGCAGGTTTCAAAATATGCAGTTTCCCTGTTGCTCCAACAGGCCGAGATGATTACTAGTCTTGTCTCCTCACTTCCTATCTTGAAACAGTTTCCATTGCTGACTACAGAACAATCCCCCCCCCCATTTAAAAACAGGACCAGGTACCACATGCCTATGCTTTGCATGAAAACTATAAGTTCTATTTCACGACTCCTTTTTGTGGTGGTGGTCAGGGTGAAGGTGTCATGGGCCAGCTGGAGAATTTAATGCAACTACGGACCCTGCCCTTTGAAAAATGCAGATAAGAACATACAAGTACTGACTTTCTCCCTGGGACAAGCCCAGCCAGGGGAGGCAGCTGGGCCAGGGTTTCCTTGACCCCAAGACACTGATGATAATTGCACTGTCCATATAAGGCAGCAATGAGAATGGAATGAGTTAGGCACATCACGGCCCCACACGGCTAGCTCAGTTGGTTAGAGGATCTTCCCAATGCCAAGGTTGTGGGTTCAATCCTGAGTCAAGGCACATAAAAAAATCAACCAATGAGTGCATATATAAGTGGGACAACAAACTGATGTCTCTTTCCCTCCTTCCCTCCATCTCTTCCCACCCCATTTCCTCTCTCTCTCTCTCTCTGTCAGATCAATAAATAAAAGAGTCTAGTATCAGGACTTACACAGAGTAAATGTGCAGTATATGAAGGTGCTCTTATTTTTATTCTCTTTTCCAAAATATAACTCTATCAGGAGGATGCTACATGAAGCTATTAGCGTGTTAGGGAGAATGAGTTTACCCATCACCTCCTCCACCCGGATGGAGATAGAAATGGGAGTGTGGGGGATGGAGAAAAGGAGCAGGAAGCAGCAGCAACCTACTCCCAGGTCCTCCTGGAGTCTCCATAGCTCTGAAGGGCTTCACCCCACCTTACCTCGATGGTAAAACACCACAATCAATGTGCATGCACACAGCACAAAGGCCAGGGAGGAACCAATGATCTTCAGCAGAAGGGAGCTGCCCAGCTGGTGTATCTGGTGAGAACGGGGAAGATGATTGGGCTGTTCGTTTCTGACGTCATCCTCACCCGTCCCAACCACTAACCACACCCTCTAAGGGCCGGAAGCTTCACTGCATCTCACCACATTTTTGCCCAGTGTGCCTCAAGACCAAAACAAAGCCAACCTTACAAATCATGAAAAAAACATGTTTAAGTTTCTGAAAACCTGAAACATTTACCCAGACCCTAGGTGACAGGCCTCAGGTTTCAGGCCTCAGGCGTACAGGCCCTGGGGCTCAGGGGTCTGAAGGGGGAAATAAGGGCGCTGGGAGCTGTGCTCACTATCGCGTCACTCTGCTGGCCCCACCCAATGCCGGGAGCTCTCCCCAGCCCTGTGCTGGCCTCCCACCTGGGGAGGGGCGGGGGGGGGGGGCGAGGGGGGCGTGGCTCGGGCTGCAAGAGGCAACAAGACCAAAGAGAAAATGCAACTCAATTTCACATTTGCGCAGCAGTGCTTCTCAAAGTGTGGCCAGGGGACTCTTGAGATTAAAATGATTTTCAAAAGACATTACTTCTTGACTGTCATTTTTCCCCAAGATGTACGATTCCCCAGAGGTTGTGTGACCTGTGGAGTGACGATCTCATCTCTCTGATGATGGAACACGTAAGCCAGTGCGAGAATCTGTCTGCTCTCACGCCGAACGCTGAGGTTTGGGAATGTAAAACCCTGCCACTTTTCTCGGTAAAATTTTCTCATTTGGCAAAATGTAGTTATTTTTCCATAAAATGCATGTTATTTATGTTAATGTGTAGTGGGTTTGTTAGCCTTATTTTTAAACGAGTAAAGACTGTTTTTGACTTCTCATATTAATTTTTGCGAGTAAGAAAGGGTCCCGACGCCACACTGTTTGAGAAGAACTGCTTGGCAGGCACCGTCTAGCTGTCGCGGGGCGAGGCCACACCCTACTTCCCCGCTATGCCCCGGGCCCTGCCCCATTCCCCAACACAGTGGCACAGTCTGGACACCCCTCTCTCTCTCACAGGAGAAAGAAGAGGAGGAAAGAAAGAAGGGGGGTGCCACTCTTCTTTTTAGATGTCTACCCAGCCTAAAGTTTCCCCTAACGCAGCCTGAATCACTTTTGCAACAATAAACATTAATGAAGGCTCCTCTCAGAGACAAAAGGACCACCTTGGGCAGGCGTTGATTCTGCAACATGTCCCTAATCCTGGGCCACACAGAAGGAACACAGTGATTTTTCATGTTTCTGTCTTTTTTTCCCTTGGCTTCTCAGAGCATCTGTGTATATGAAAGTAATAATATTGATGTTATTTCTGCCAAGAATCCAAGTCCACAGATTCCTTAGCTATGCCAGAATAGTTGTGATGCCTTTCACACTTTTCCTAGGTGTGTCTGGTCTCCCCAGGCCATTTCCGCAACCTCTACCGTAGCTTTTTACAATCTTAGTCGTGCACGTCAAATGCGTCACAAAAAATGTTTACCGGGTTTTTTTCAACTTTAATTTGCCCAAGGGTTGTCGTCTCAGAGCCTGGGAAGGAAAAAAGGAAAGAAATGTTTATATTTCCTGGAGGAAGAATGAAATATCACATTTTAAAACAGGCATTTCAAAGCTTATCTGGAATTTCCGTTGCTGTGTGCAATCTTTCCATATCAGTGTATCGGTGAACATTTGTTTGGTGAGGTTTTACCTAAGGCTCCTCCTCTGCTATCCAAAATTATCCCACGGGGGCACCTTCATTTTACAGACATGTGGAGGGAGGCATTAAGCCAGCGGACAGTCAGGTCTAAGTTTTCTATAGGTTCCACCAGTACATTCAGGATTTTTTTCCATCATGAAAACTTGTCACTCTATCAATTAGCAAGTATTTATTGAATATTTATAATAGGCCAAGCACTTATGGTGATTGTACCATTAACCTCATCGATGGAATTTACAATTTAGTGCTGAAGACCAAATTTAAACATACAATGTGGACAGTTGAAAAATACTTATAGCCCTGGCTAGTGTGGCTCAGCAGATTGAGCGCTGACCTGTGAACTGAAAAGTCATGGATTGATTCCAGGCCAGGGCACATGCCTGGGTTGCGGGCAAGTCCCCAGTTGGGGCTGCATGAGAGGCAACCAGTCAGTGTATCTCTCACACATTGATGTTTCTCTCCTTCTTTTTCTCCCTCCCTTCTCCTCTCTCTACAAGTAAATAAATAAAATCTTTTCTTAGAAAAAGTTAGAGTTATGTGAAATTCTGGGAAGCAACACTTTAAGATATCATAGACCATATCGTGGGGATGGCTCTCTCTACGGGGTCAAGAAATGTGTCCTTGAGAAGGTGAAATTTAGGCTGAGACATGGAGTCATGTACACATAGCTGATAGTTGAGTTCGACGAGGAAAACACGCTGAGAACCTACCAAGTGCTAAGCACTGCTCTGGGCACAAAACACTGAGATGAAATGGCATGGCCCCACTTCACAAAACATATTAGATAAGGGAGACCAGAGGGTTACTGAAGCCTAAGAGCCCAAGGGTAAGAATAGGGTCAGGCCACTGGAGTAGGGACAGGTGGCTGGAGAGGATGGGCAGAGGGAAAGGCACATCGGCCAACTTCGTAGCTCAGCCAGAGCTGTTAGAATCAAGCTCCATGAGGACAGGGTCCATCTCTGCCTGTTCAAAAAGGGACCAACACTTCCTGACACATTTACTGAGTACATACGTGGTACTCAGTAAATGAATGTGACTATGAATCAAGGTTGAGCTGTAGATACTGATGTCAGAGTCATCAGTATCCAGGGACCCGTTAAAATGCTCCGTGTGGCCCTGCTGGTGTAGCTCAGTGGATTGAGCGCGGGCCTGAGAACCAGACAATCACAGTTCGATTCCCAGTCAGGGCACATGCCTGGGTTGCAGGCTGGTTCCCTGCAGGCCAGTTCCCAGCAGGGGAGACACACAAGGCAACCATACATTGATGTTTCTCTCCCTCTCTCCTTCCCTTCCCCTCTAAAGATAAATAAAATCTTTAAAAAAAATGCTCCATGTGTATAAGAAATCCAAGGGCTGGGTAGCACAGTTGGGTAGCACAGTTGGTTGGCGCATCATCCCAATATGCCAGGGCTTTGGGTTCGATCCCCGGTCAGGGCACGTACAAGAATCAACCAATGAGTGCATAAATAAGTGGAACAACAAATCGATGTCTCTCCGATCGCCTTCCTCTTTCTCTAAAGTCAATACATTTTTTGGAAAGGAGAAATCCAAGGGCTGCATGTCCGGACAGAGACAAACAGGCATCCTGGGAAACCCAGCCCTTAAAAAGGTACGCAGAGGCAGCAAAGAAGGAAGCAGAAGAAATGGGCGAGAACAGTGTCACAGCGGCCAGTGCAGGAGAAAATGTCCGGGAAAGCTGCAAACCACACGTGCAATACAACCTTCTGATAGACACGGAATGCAATGTACACGTGAATATCTAGGCTGACAATTACTGAAACAGCATTATTGCCCCCGAACTTCCTCGCTTGCCAGGCAAAAGGAGAAGTGCCATCAGTTTTGTAAGGCTCGTGAAGTGATATGAGAGCTTATGGACAGGGAAAGTGACGTGTGCAATGCCCAGCAGCATAAAACTCCAATGGGGAAAGTCGGCGTTTCATACCCTACAACTCGGTTTTTGTTGTATTTCTCTCCATTATCATCCCCTAGAGCTGCAAATTGCAGGTAAGAACTCAACACTCCTTCCTGTCAAACTCCTGTGGTACTACAGTCACGGGTGATGGAGACGCCTGGTGGAAACCACTGAAGAGGAAAGGCAGCTGGGTCAGGTCCGTCCGTGCGAATCTGTGCTTTAAATGGGAATCGTCCGATGGGGGAGACAACTTGCAAACACAAACAGTGCTGAATGGTATCAAACGGTGCTTTTTCTTGTTTTTATTCATCTTCAGAAAATGCCAAGCGCCCCAGTGGGAAGCACCACAAGTACCACAGGGCTGCACATCAAACAGCAAGCAGACACACAAAACTGGTGGTTCTTCCCCGGGAAGAACAGTGGCGCTAAGGGCCAGGGGATGCCGGCTCGACAAGGCAAGACGATTGGTTTTCGTGTCTGCCATCTGTGCGCTCCTGGCCCTGACATCGCCAAGGCCTAAACTCTGACACAAACAGTTTCGGGCAAAGGCAGCAGCCTCCCAAAACGTGCACCCCCCCCAAAAAAAAAATGTGTTCTGTGTCAGAGAATTGTAGTGGTTGGACTAGTGTTCCCTCGGATCATGTCCCCTAGGACCTCAGATTGTGACCCTATTTACAAATAGGGTCTTTGCCCATGTAGTTAGTTAACAATCTTGAGATGAAATCATCCTAGATGTCCAGAGGCCCTGAATCCAATGGCTGGTGTCCTTATAAGAAAAGAAGAGGATACAGGGAAGCCATGTAAAGACAGAGGCAGAGACTGGAGTGATGCTGCCGTAAACCAGGGAATGCCAGGTACACCGGAAGCTGGGAGCATCAAGGAAAGGTGCTCCCAGAGCACTCAGAGAGCACAGCCCTGCTGACTCCTTGATTTCAGGCTTCTAGACTCAGACCTGGGAGGGAATGCATTCCTGCTGTTTTAAAGCCACCTGGTTTGTGGTCCTTTGTTACCGCAGCTCTGGGAAACTAATAGAGGACTTAGAGGGAATTGACATACGAGGGATGACAGTGACCTTCAAGTGGGTGTAGTCAACCTAATAAAAAGTCAGGAAACATGTGCCGAGCACAGATGGGTAAGAAGACTAAACTCAACCGAAGGGCCTAGCATTAACCTCAAAAGAGTGTTCTTCTACTGGCATATTATTACTGACAATCCAATGACCATTCACTCCTCAGCAGCAGCCCTGGGGGTAGGCACTATCCCTTACCACCAATGAAAACACCGAGGCTCAGAGGGCAGAGCAATGTGATCAAGGTCAGGCAGGTTGTAGGTGAAGGAGCTGGGACTTGAACATGGTACGACTGCCATCAATACCTATGTTCTTGAGGACGTCATCATACAGGAGCTGAAGCACAACTGTACCATGCACGAAGCATGGTACACAACAAAGATGCAAGAAGTGTTCAGTATAACAATTTACAATGGATCTAGAAAAAGGATGGTCCAGAATAGTGGTCTCCAAGAAGGGCTTGGGCTTGCTACAAAGGCTCAAGGCCACCCACTGGGTATAGGGGAACATGAGAGTGTCCGTTTACATTTATTTAAATTTCATCCTTTAAACATTTATTTGGGAGGGCTATATTTTAAAGTGTATATATTAATATGGAGGTGTATGTAAATAAATGATCAATAAATATTTTTACCGATGAGAATACATTAATCAATCTAGTCTAGAGAGAGAGAATGAGTCATTTGTTTCTCAAACAGTTGGGAGACTATAGTAGGCAGAATAATGATACCCGAATGTGTACACAATCTAATCTTCAGAATTTGTGACTATGTTCTCTTACGTGGTGAGACTTTGCAAAGTGATTTCCTAAGTCAAAGATCTGGAGATGGGGGACTTTCGGCCAAGATGTAGGCATAGGTAGACACACTGTGCCTCTTCACACAACCAAAAGAAGGACAACAACAATTTAAAAGCAAAAAAACAACCAGAGTTGACTGATAATTGAACTGTATGGAAGTCCAAAAACCAAGGAGTTAAAGAAGATACATTCATACAGACCAGTAGGAGGGGTACAGTCAGGCAGCCAGGCCAAGAGGACTTGAGGCAAGGTGGTGGATGGAGGATGGGGGTGGGCAACACAGTAGCTGGCGGACCTGGTGAAGTGGCGGCTGGTGGAGCAGGCTGTACCACATTAAACCAGGAGAAACAGTTGGGGAGCGGGATGGAGTGCACAACCCAGGGCCCCAGAGCAGGAAAATAAAGCCTCAAACCACTGATTGAAAACACCAGTGGGGGTTGAGGCAGCAGAGGGAGAGACTCCCAGACTCACAGAAAAGTTCCTTGGAGAAACCCACAGGATCCTAGAATGTACACAGACCCACCCACACAGGAATCAGCACCAGAAAGACCCAGTTTGCTTGGGGGAAATGGCAAAGACACTGAAATCCAACAGAGAGAAGAGCAAGCATCATTGTTCCCCCTCAGACCCTACCCCTACATACGGCATCACACCCTAGAAACTGGGTTGCCCTGCCCTGGTGAACACTAAGGCTCTGCTCCTCACTAGGAAACAAGCATATCAAGACAAAAAAAAGTAGCCCAAACAAACCAACAGGTCAAAGCTCCAGAAAAAATACAACTAAGGAATGAAGAGATAGCCAACCTATCAGATGCACAGTTCAAAACACTGGTAATCAGGATGTTCACAGGATTGGTTGAATTTGGTCACAAATTAGAGGAACAAATGAAGGTTACACTAAGTGAAATAAAGGAAAATGTACAGGGAACCAATAGTGATAGGAAGAAAACTGGGACTGAAGTCAAGAGTGTGGACCAGAAGGAAGAAAGAAACATCCAATCAGAAAAGAATGAAGAAACAAGAATTCAAAAAATGAGGAGAGGCTTAGGAA